ACCAGAGGTGCTCACCATTCTTATTGAGGACATTTAGTGCAAAACCCATCTTATAGAAGGATTCTCTGCAGATGCTTAGGTACTGCAGGAGGTCTGGTTTTTGAATGTTATAGTCACTGTTGGTATCAAGCCTTAGAATATGGCAGAGCCTTCTAGGCAACTCAGAAGAGTTTGATCTCGTTGTCCCCAGGAGGAAATCCAAATGGATGAAGAATGCTTGTTGTCCAGGCTATGTCATGCATTTAGGTGGATAGAGCTTTTGGACAGACCCACAAATGGTCATGTTGAGATTACAGTAAAACAAGAAAACTGTAGCAGTCGTGTTGCCCCTTGGAAATTGTAGAGTTCCTTTAATAATTCTGAACTTCTCTCTGAAATCAAGGCCCACCTTTTTAACACTAGAAGTACTAGTTTTAAATCAATTGATGTAGAAATATGCTTGGTCATTTGAGTTATTCTTAAATTCTGGTCCTTTTAAATTCCAGTATTCAAACAGTAAATTGTTGTGAGTCATATAACACTAGGCTCAGAAGAATTAAAAGTTTAATATTTCTCAGAAACGAGAAATACTTTGTATGAGTTGGTTATAACACAAAAATAAAGTTGTTTCTAAGAGGAAATACTGTAGTTTACCTTGAGACACCAAAAAACATTTCTTCCATCCCTTTCTCTTACCTCCAGCACTGGCTCCTCTTCCCACTGGGGCTTTGGTGGTCAGCAGCAGCCATAGGAGCTCAGAAGGGCCTGGCTAGAGGGAGTAGATGTCTGTGGCTTTTCATGTGTACAGATCGTTCATAACTTTGTTGTTTTCTATGAATGGGATTGTCTTCACACTTGAACTAAGTTATTATAGAAGCAAACAAAACTAATGCTGTCTATCCTAGTCACTTAATGAGAAAAACAGTGTCCATGTAGCAGGAAAAGATCATTCCACTATACTCTGTTGTGGTCCAGACCACACCTGGTGCACCATGTTTGTTTCTGGTACAACAGTTTTTGAAAGGACAGAAAGAAGTCCTTTCTAAGACTTAGGGGAACTGATGCCAAGTGAAGTGAGCAGAACCAGGACAATATTGTACACAGTAACAGCAGCATTATACGATGACCAGCTTTAATAGATCTAGCTCTTTTCAGCAATGCAGTGATCTAAGACAATTCCAAAAGACTCATGATGGGAAATGCTATCCACATGCAGAGAGAGAACAATGGAATCTGAATGCAGATCAAAGCATACTATTTTCTCTCTCTCTCTCTCTTTTTTTTTCTTTCTCGTGGTTAAACCTTTTGTTCTGATTCTTCTTTCATAACATGACTAATGTGGAAATATGTTTAATATGATTATATATGTATAGCCTATATCAGATTGCATGCCATTTTGAGGAGGGGGGAGTGGAAAAAGGGGAAAAATTTAGAACTCAAAATCTTATAAAAGTGAATGTTGAAAACTAAAAATAAAAAAAAAGAAGTCTTTTCTAAAGAGTGTCCAGAAGAGCATCATCAGATAGTGAGAGGACTGAAAAGAATGTCATATTAGGATCTTTCACCCTGGAAGTATTAAGCCTGGAGAAGAGAAGACTAGGTAAAGACATGGTAACAGCCTTAAAGTATTTTAATGGTTTTTATGTGGAAGAGGTGTTAGACTTAATTCTATTTCAGACCTAGGGTGGGCAGCAATAAGAGCCAGGAATGGAAATTTCAAAGGTAGATTTAAAGAATAACTTACTAACCTAACAATTGGAGCTGTTAAGAAGTGCTTTACAAGACTGCTTTACAAGATGGCAGCATTCTCTCTCTCAGTTTCTCTGTCTCTCATATTATATATCTTTAAGAAGAGATTGGACGATCACTTGCTGGTGATGCTGTCAAAGGGATCTTGGGTCAGGTTAGGGTTAGATTAGAGAGTCTCTGTGGTTCTTCTCAACTCTTAGATTCTGTGATCTGTGCAAAGCAAATATTATGCAATAATAACACTTCTTTAAAAGTACTTAGAAATGTATACAGTAATGAGAATTAGCCTAAAGTTGTTTAGTTATGTTTTGTTCTCTTTGAAATGGCTTCTACCCCAACCATCCCTCCTCCTCTCTCAGCATGTTTTGTGGTATTCAAAACCACTTGCCTATTTCTACCAAATTGGAACTCAAATCACAGCTGTCATAAGCGTGCTATCGAGATTAGAAAAACAGATGTTTTGGAAATATTTGCGTAAAGAAAGATTCAAGGACCATCAGAAATGCTAATGATCTCTTTAAAAAAATATAGCATAAACCTTTTGCTTAAAAGGCTCGTTAAAAATGACTAGTGTGATGCTTTGAAGTGAAGCACCATTGGAGGAGGGATGTGTGGTAAAAAAAATAGAAGATGTGTTGTAGGTTGAATTGGGAGTAGGAGAACTCTCTGGTCTCATGAGTTCTTGATGAGTTTTTACCTATCCTAGAAAAACCAGGGATTTAGTTTCTTTTTCTTGGAAAGCAGATAATGGCAGAGCAGGGTTTGAGATGCTAATTTTGGACACTTTAATTTTGAAAATCACAAAAATTTCACTCCAGGCTGAATTTGTGGATTATTAATAGAAGGTTATAGAAAGAGAAGGTTGAAATGAAGTGTTTTGCATGGTTTGTCCTACCTATTTTGATACCTGGGCTATTAATTTTTACAGTATTTTGATGTCTTCACAGAGGCACACAGTGTAGGTGTTTCATAAAGTATACTGATTTTTTTTTTTGAGTTTGAAAAATTCAATATTAGTTCAGATTAACTCCACATTAAATAAGGTCATGAAAGTTTATGGCAATGATGTCCTAGATTAGAAAAAAGAAAGTCTAGAGACTGATAGAGGAAATTGCTACACTGTTATCTGCAAAACTAAAATACAGACATTCCAAGCATTTCACCATTTTTAAATTTCCGTTTCAATTAAGCCTGTTTTGGTAGTGTACTGTTTAAAATGAAATAAATGAACCTTTCCAGGGCCCTGGGCTAATCAAGATTGAATGGGAAGATAGGGTAACTGAACATCAAGGAAAGTTGATGATTTTGTATTGGAAATATATCCTGTTAATCTAGTTTACCCAAGTTGGGTGTCTGTTAGGCCACTTACTCATTTCTAGGCTTCCCAGACTCCTTACGTAGTCTATATTTTGCATATTGCCTGAGAGAATATTTTCCTTTGACTCATCGCTGAATCCCCAGGCATATCTCAGAACTCTCTGAATCACCCATTGAACTAATCAGAGGATTCCTCTTGATCCAGAAAATCATGATCTGTCCTTGCTTAATTCCCGCTTCCTGATAGTAATTATCTGTCTCTTATCCTTTCTTATTCCTCACCCACCAGAGTCGTCTTCTTTTCTTTCTCAGTGCTTATTTCCCAGTGATTTGCAGTGTTTCTCTTTCCTTTCCCAACACTCATACCCATTGGTATTGAGGAATGATCTTATTTGGGTGGGTTTGGGGTAGCAAGCATCTCTAGACCTTTAGTTCTGGCAGCATCATTCTTTTACCCACACTGTTGTCCCATACTCTCCTTCCATACCACCTTGTGCTGTGATGATATTAGCATTGATCTTAACCTGAATTATATAATGATACATTTTCTATGTTGGCTAAAGTCAGTCATTTAAAAGTAGATTATTCAGAATGTGGATTTTTCTTGGTTCTTCCATTTTCTGCTCCTCTGCATTATGGCAGTTTTCTTGCTCTTTTACCAGGGAAAATAATGAAGAATGGTTGTGGGTAAAACACTGGTGTTACTTGTTAGCCGTTGAGGTTTTGAGATGATTAGTGGTTTAGACATTGTCTAGTGTAAAGTAAAGAGTGCTGGAATGGGAGTCATCAATTAGTTGGGGGACCACAGTCATTCTTTGAGCCTTGATTTCTTCATCTGTTGAAGGAGTAGGTTACCTTAGATAATTTCAGCTGCTGATATTCTTATGATTATTGTCATCATCATCATCATCACCAGCGCTTATATTTGTACTTTAGTGTTTGTAAAGAAAGCCCTTTACAAATATTATCTCATTTTTATCCTCATAACAACTCTGGGAGGTAGATACTATTCCAAATGAAGAAACATCTACACAGAATAAGTGACTTATCCAGGGTCACACAATTCGTTTGAACTCTCAGGTCTTTCTGAGTCCAGGTCCAGGGCTCCTTCTGGGGCCTACCTAGCTTCCTCTATTCACTTTGTGTAGGTAGGTGAGAAAATCGTGCATGTTGAGATGCCAAACACAAGACTCGGGGGCAATCATTTTGATTTTCTTTGTCCCAGAGGTTGTTCTGGACTTGAGGCATATGGACTGTTCTAAAAGGAGAATCAAAACAAAAGTCTGGTTTGGATTTTGTTAAGTCTGGCAGGAAGCTCACTTTGTAAGTGAGAGGGGGCTCATGATTTACATTATGGCTTGGTGGCTTATTGGTGTGCATGTATATTATGGAATGCCTTGACATTTTCTTTCCACATGATTTTTTCTCCTCTAAAAACCTACTCTCTGTCTTCAACTCACTCCGTCGCAAATGTTTGGGACTTGCTGGCTGAGACTGAAATAAAATTGTTATTATGAGACTACTTTGAAGGCAGAAAGTATTGCTAATCACCAAACATTGAAGTGTACTTCATTTTTTTTTTTTTGATACTATTAAGCTAAAAGGAGTTGGGTGAAATTAATTATCTGCTCACTTCCTGCATACATAATAGAAATTCAAATGTAAATTCTTCCTCTGCTTAGGGTGCAAAATCTTTCTTTATCTCTGACTCAGGGCCCTCCCAATTTAAAAAACCTTTTTAATTAATGAGAAAAAAATAGAAAATTTGTGTGTAATGTCGCTGTTAGTTAACATTCTTCTGCATTTTAATTTGTCAAGTAATTGTTCTTAATGTTTTTGAAATAGAGGTTCATTGTGTTGAATATCTCTGATGCTTATATCTGCTTGAATAGACTTTTCTGTCAGCCAGATGTAGAACATTTTTTAAAAACAATCTCTTTTTTATTTAATAACAGGGCAGTCCAATGGATCCAATGGTAATGAAGAGACCTCAGTTGTATGGAATGGGCAATAATCCTCATTCCCAGCCTCAGCAAAGCAGTCCATACCCGGGGGGGGTCATATGGTCCCCCTGGCCCACAGCGTTATCCAATTGGAATCCAGGGACGGACCCCAGGTGCCATGGGAGGAATGCAATATCCACAGCAACAGGTTTGTGGTGGTTTTTACTTACTTTTGGTGGTGGTTCTTAGTACTTTCTCACTTTCTAGGAATTGGGAGAATTTGGGGATTCATGAAGGTAAGTGATTATAAGGCTTTGAAATTTACTCTCTCTTAATTTTCCTTAGCAAAAGTCTACTGATATAAGCTAATTTTTTATAGATTTCCTTGAAATAAATATGATATGTTATTCTTTTTTTAATCTATTTGTCAGTGAGATTAAAGTAAATTTGCTGAATGCCTTGTTGATGGGCAGGAGACCAGTTATGGCCATATTTGAAAGATAAAGATAGCATTATCAAGTTGAGTTTTTCTGCTTTGCTTCTTGTGTAGTCATTTTGCCTGCATTTTAAAAAACATTATTTCTGTGAATTTTTAAGTAGAATTAGTTTCTTAGAGCTGACTTAATTTCTTTAGCTTATGATCTTTTAAAAAAAGTTAATGTCTCCTATTCTCATTCAGAAAATACTATTTAAAGCCCCTTTTTGTTTGTTCACTATTATCATTTTTTGCATCTGCTTTTTTTTTTAAAACCTAACAACAATCCTGTGTTGGCAAGACCTCTAGGTACCCTCATTTTATAAACAGGGAAACTGAGATTGAGGGAAATTAAGCGGCTTGCCCAAAGTCAGGCAGCTGGCAAAGGTCAGGGGCAGGATTGAAACGTAGTCCTTCCAGGTCTTACATTCTAACCACTTTGACAGGGTGTTTTCCTTTATCAGACTCATGGAGTTGGAAATTTCCTTAAATGCTTTTTTTAATCAGGACCATGTCTAAATCATTATGCAAAATTGAAACTATTCCATATGGAACTATGGTAGTATGGAACTGGGAATATAAATCGTTTGGCTCTATATAAGTGAGATAAATTATTCAAAGTATAGTAAGTATTCAGAGTATCTGGTAGATGAACCTGTTTAGCTCAGCAAAAATTTATTAGATAGGGATACAAAGATGAAAAATTATGTCTCTGTCCTCAAGGAACTTACAATCTGGTAAGAAGAATGAGGGCATATTCTTAACCATAATACAAGATAGAATAATTTAATGAAAAGAACACTGAATTTGGAGGAGACAGATCAGAACACAGGAGATAAATGCAGAGTAATGAGAAGGTTGGTACCAACAGCTATGGAGGTCTTCTGGAGTAGGCAGTGCTTCAGTTAAGTCTTAAAGAAAGCCAGATCTGTTAGTCATAAATTGGGAGAAAAATCATTCTAGGAATGGGTAACAGCTAGTGCGAAGGCACCAAGTTGGGACCCATTGGAGTTGATTAAGCAGGAATGTGTAGCTGTAATCACTTTGGCAGTAGAGTGGACAATAGATTAGAGTGGGGAAAGATTTGAAACAGGGAGACCATTAGAAGCCTATTTGTTGCAGTAGTCCACACAAGAGATGAAGGCCTGCACTGGGATGCTAGTTGTACAATGTGAGTAGAGAGAAGATGAGTTCAAGAGATGTTGTAGACAAAGAAGTTTCAAGGGTGAAGGCATCAAGCATTAGTGCTGTCTTTGCCTTGGAACTGTGACTAGGCCCCCTGCTCCCTTGTGACCAACCACCAGTTGTCTGCACCCTGGTATTGCAACCCAGAACTGTGTATGGCCGATAAAATTACCAATCATTGCCAGCTGTATTCAGAGCCAACAAAGGGTCCCCAGTAATCCCTTTCTGATCAGTTGTCCGGCCCCAACACCGTCTCTGGGCTGAGAACTTGTGAAGCTGCTGCTGCTGTTGAAATGGTCACATGTGGTCTCCAGATAGGCTTCCACCCTCATGTCATAGACTTTTCCTGCCAACCTTTTAAGTTTTCCTAGGCTGGAAAAATGTCTTACTCTGGTCTTTTGTTGGTTCTGCTGCTCCAAAATTTGATTTGAATCATTATTTTAAAGTTATTTGGAGGGTAATGTTGGGAGAGTTCAGCTCAGTGGCTGCCCCTAATCCGCCATCTTTGAAAGGTATTAGATTCTATATCAGACATGTTGAGATGCCTATGGGACATACAGTTAGAAATGTCAAACAGGGAGTTAGTGATGTAGTACTAGAGCTCAGAAGAGAAATTAAGGCTAGATATATAGATCTGGGGTCAAGTCTCTGCCCAGCTAGTTACTATCCATGTAGTAACTTTGGACAAGATACATAAGAACTCAACTTCTATTTCTTTATCACTTAAATAGGCATTCAATAGATTATTTCTAAGGTCCCTTTAACATGCATATCCTTTCCCTATGTGTTTTTGGGGGTTGGAGGTAGAGAGAAAGTTGGGAATTTTAGGCATTCTAGGTATAGGGTACTGCTTGTTCTTTGTTGTTTTAGCAGAAAAAAGTCCCTAGTGGGATAAGATGAGTTCAGCGGATGGTGAAACAATCCATTTTGGCTTGAGTGTAGAATATGTGAAAAGGGTGCCACACAATGATATGGGAAGATAGGATGGAGATAGATTATTAAGGGCCTTGAATGTCAAGTTAAGGAGTTAACATTTTATTCTGTAGTCAAGTCACTGTGAAGTCACCAAAGGTTTTTGAGAATGCTTTAAGAAGATTATTTTGACCTTAGTGTGAAGGCTGTATTGAAGAGAAGAGAGACTAGGGTCAGGAAAACTTGTTAGATGGTCATTATGAGAGACTAGGTAAGACATCTTCAGAATCAAGACTACAGTGAGTGGTGAGAGTGGAAAAGAATCATTGGGATTTGGCAACTGTTTGGGGAGGGAGGAGGAGAAAAGAAAGGATGAGTCATGAATGGTCTTAAAATTGACTGTAATGGTTTGGTTCCCAAGAATTTTGTTACGGAGTATTACAGATTAATGCAAATGACAACAAGCTTTTTGTAGACTTTTAATGGTTGCAAAGCTTCGTTTTGATGATATTTCATATGGATATACTGTTTTTAATACTGTTCTAGGCTGGGCCTGCCTCATGCCAATCCCCAGGTAACTTATGTTTGATTGAACAACATGAGATATTTTTAGGTCATTCAACAGTTTACAAAAAGAGATTTACTTAGCCAAAATTGAAGAATATCTTCAATTTTAACCCTTGCCTGAGTTCTCCAGCCTTATCCGCCCATTAAACATCAGAACATCTCTGAAGCTCCTCCTTCCTGACTGCTTTTGTATCCAGGAAGTGATGTGAGTGGTCGGAATCTTTATTCCCCCAAAGCCAGCCAAGATTGAAGGACAGTCTCAATAACTTTTAAGAAACAATTAGCCTAACTTGCATGGGGAGATGAGGGTTTAGGATATTGCTCTTACCACAAATACCTACAGAGGAGAAGATAACCATAATAATCTGAGTAGCCTGTTCTAGGATTTAACAACACACTCAGCAAATTCTTCCCTATATCTAACCCAAATCCTGCATGATGCAGTATAAGCTAATTACGTCTTGTCTGTCTGATGTGGATGTGAAGAACATCTGTATACTTTACCCTTATTAAGTTCCTTTCCGAGAGAAGGTTCAAGCTTTTTATCTTTTCTTCCTAAACTGAAATATATACATATATCGATATACATACACACACACACGTTTTTCCCCCCTTTTACAAAATATTATCACTCTAAAACAGAGGGTCGATGGAGATAGAAAACAGGAATAAGTTTATGGACCCTTGTTCCTTTTAAAAGCTTTAAATTTAGAAATTAACTCCATTTACTAAGGAAAGTGATTCACCAAGATTTAGAGTAATTAGTAACACAGTTATACTCTTGATCTGACATTTTTCTGTACTTTCATGAAAGATTGCTGAGAGAGAGAGAGAGAGAGAGAGAGAGAGAGAGAGAGAGAGAGAGAG